GGCAATTTGGCTACGGCATAAATGAGTTTGCTCTGGAGCCCTCCTTCCTGAGCTGAGACAAAAATGTGTGAGCCGGAGGCTAAAAAAACTTTCCGCTGGCTCGCACTAACTCATCTCAGAGGGAACACTGGATGGGACCCCTGGGCCTGATCGAGCAGGGCTCTTCTTATGTTGAGGGGTGTCAAACCACTGCTCTTCTTTGCTGTCATCCATGTCCAGCAATTTAGGAGAAGCTTTCTAATGTCCTTGCTCTGCCTCAGGAGCTGAGAGGTCTCTGAGAAAGCCACCATGTCCAGCATTTGGAAGAGTCACCTGCTACTCCCGAATGACCTCTGCTGGGTCTTGATTGATGTCACCACCACGGGAGCGGAAACACAGGCCCCTGAACGGCCTTGCGTCAAAGCACGAGCCCTACGATGGTAAACCTTTCAAGGAGGAAGCCTGGCCCAGGTTCAAATCCAGGCCTTGCTATGGCAGCTTTGAGGGACACCAGTTCGAAGTAGTTTGTTAACCCAGTCAAGGTATCCACATCCCTTCCTGGTCCCGCATCGTGACCAACCAGGCCCAGGCAGAGCCCAAGGTTGAACTCAGCCGGCAGCAGCGTGGGCCAGGAGGGACGCCAATCGCCTCTCATGCCAACCACAGCCAAGAATGTGTCCCTCCCCCTCAGCTACAGTCGGGTGCGAAACATCTCCTGGTAATACCAGGCCCGAAGGAGATCAGGCTGGCCATTACCAGGGCCAGGGCTTTTTCGGTGGCGGCTCCTACCTGGTGGAACAAGCTCCCGGAGGAGATCAGGGCCCTGCGGGACTTAATGCAGTTCTGCAGGGCCTGCAAGACGGAGCTCTTCCGCCAGGTGTTTGAGTAGGAGCCGCCACTATGGTACCATCATTACCTGGCCCTGGAGGAAAGAACGCCGGCATTGTCCGGAACAGAGGACACTGAGCTAGTAGAGCAGCAGTAAGTTCGTCATCTTTGTGGAATATCTGGAGCGCTTTATATATGTAATTTTGTAATGTCATATAATGTTTAAATGGTTTTTAAAATGTTTTTATGTGTGGGCGTATGCCTGTCTGTGACCCGACCTGAGCCCGCTTTTGCGGGGAGGGCGGGCTATAAATCGAAAATAATAATAATAATAATAATAATAAGAAGAAGAAGACGAAGACGAAGACGAAGAAGAAGAAGAAGAAGAAGAAGAAGAGGGGATATGGTGACTCCGGCATTACCGCAGCCCTCACCTTCTGCATCACTTTGCCTCCCCGTTTCTTGTGCAGTGTAGCAGCTACACGGGCGGCTCCGTCCCCTCCCGGCACGGCCTCTGGCGCTGGCGCGACTTTCACCACGACGCGGGCCAAGGTGTGGAGGGCCTCTAGCTGGCCCAGCTGGTGCAGATCGCCATGAAGGAGGGCCACGATCCGAGTGATTTTCAGGCCTACCAAGGAGAGGAGTGTCAGGAACGACCTGTCAGCTGTGCTCCTTGGCGGCAGCTTCCCCTACACAAGCCCAGCTGGAATCGGGTGGGCCAGCAATGTCAGGGCCGCTCTCCCGAATCAGAAGAAGAAGAAGAGACTGGATTTATACCCTGCCCTTCACTTGGAGTCTCAGAGCGGCTTACAGACTCCTTTCCCTTCCCCTCCCCACAACAGGCACAACAGAACAAAGGTTCGTCCGGTCTAGACTGACGCCCCAGAAGGCCCATCTCAAAGGCACAGAGGCCAGAACTTACACACTCCTGCTGTCCCCCGTCTACACACCCCCAATAACCCTGGCATCTCGACATATAATATTACCCCTTCGAAACAGGAGAAGTACAAATTTCCCAAGGCCCAAGAGGGGGATTTTCAAGCACCTCTGAGCCCCACCACGGACTGCTTTAGGACGGATTCCTTCTCACGGAGCATCTCTCCACCACAGGATACAGACCCCTCGTCCCACAAAGCTCCTCCTGCGGAAGTACAGAAATTCCTAACAGGAATTCATTTTGGCAGATCAACACAGTGAACCAGTTTGGTGTAGTGGTTAGGAGCTTGGACTCTAATCTGGGAGAACAGGGTTTGATTCCCCACTCCTCCTCCACTTGCAGCTGCTGGATGACCTTGGGTCAGTCACAAGTTCTGATAAGAGCTGTCCTTGAAAAGGAGCAGTTTCTGTCAGAGCTCTCTAGGCTCCACCGACCTCACAGGGTGTCTGTTGTGGGGAGGGGGAATGGAAAGGAATTTGTCAGCTGCTTTGAGACTCCTTCGGGTAGTGAAGGGTGGGGTAAAACCCAGTCTCCTCCTCCGCTTCTTCTCAAGCCTGGGATCTGACCTAGAAGACTCCTGCCCTAATTTATTCATTTACTCCATTTATACCCTGCCTTTCTCACCAATGGAGACCCAAAGCGGCGTTCTCCTCTCCTCCATTTTATCCTCACAACAACCCTGTGAGGTAGGTGAGGCTGAGAGTTTGTGACTGGCCCAAGATCACCCAGCAAGCTTCTATGGCAGAGTGGGGATTCGAACCTGGGCCTCCCAGGTCCTAACCAGACACTCTACCACTACACCATGCCCGCTCTCACGCTAATCCCAGACGTGTGCGGGCAGTGGTTACTCAGGCACTCTCTACGTGCTCAGAGGCATTCATGGCTTGTTGATTCGCACTGCTGGAAACGATGCCTCCTTATCATTCAGTTTTCCTTTAGAGGAACCCTAGAGTCCTGGGCCTGGCCATACCATCCTCTACGTCTGTAGAGGAAGAGTCCCCCAACCTTTCTGAGCCTAGGGGCACCTTTGGAAATTCTGACACAGCGTGGAGGACGTAGACACAAAATGGCTGCCACGGCTTTCTTCAGCCACCCTGTGAAGTGTCTTGTGCTGTGGGAGCACCTGCTGTGCATATTCTAATCTGGGAGAACCGGGTTTGATTCCCCACTCCTCCACATGCAAATGCTGGTGTGACCTTGGGTCAGCCACAAGTTCTTTCAGAGCCGTTCTCTCCAGAGTAGTTCTCCAAAGAGCTCTCTCAGCCCCACCTAACTCATAGGGTGCCTGTTGTAGGGAGAGGAAGGGAATGGGATTGCAAGCCGCTCTGAGACTCCTTCGGGTAGTGAAGGGCGGGGTATAAATCCAATCTCTTCCTCTTCTTCTTCAAAGCAACATTTTAAAAAATCTGCACAGCCAATCAGAAGCCTTGCTGGGCAAAAGCCTCATTTGGCTCCACCCACATTCTAAAGCACTTGGTGGGCACCAAGAGAGGCGTCGGAAGACCGCACGGTGCCCATGGGCCGCATGTTGGGGAACCCTGCTGCAGAGTGCTACTTAGACAACAGCCCCCGTTAAGAGGATAACCTGAGACCGGGTGGCGTGGGGGGGCGTGACGAAGTCTCCACCGTTCTCTCCCCACTGCAGCCTTGCCCTCTGCTCGTCTGGATCTCACCTGCTACCTTTGCCCTCCTGGGCAGCTGCGCAAGGACCTGGCAGACGAGAGGAAACGGCAAGCGAAGGAGCAGCCAGCTGAGCGAGTCCAGCACGACGGTGGAGGGTCCCCGTGTCGCCGCTGCCAGCCGGGCCACCAGTTCCGAGGATGCAAAGTCACCCAGGGCCAGGCCACCGCCCTGCCCGGTCCAGCCGAGGGGATCCCGAAAGCCATCATGGTACAGCAGCCTGAGACGACAGTTCTTCATTACTACCCACAACAACCCAAGATGGAAGGCATGTTGCAAAGACGGGAGTCTAGATGCGCCACCGTTCTCTCCCCACTGCAGCCTTGCCCTCTGCTCGTCTGGATCTCACCTGCTACCTTTGCCCTCCTGGGCAGCTGCGCAAGGACCTGGCAGACGAGAGGAAACGGCAAGCGAAGGAGCAGCCAGCTGAGCGAGTCCAGCACGATGGTGGAGGGTCCCCGTGTCGCCGCTGCCAGCCGGGCCACCAGTTCCGAGGATGCAAAGTCACCCAGGGCCAGGCCACCGCCCTGCCCGGTCCAGCCGAGGGGATCCCGAAAGCCATCATGGTACAGCAACCTGAGACAACAGTCCTTAATGACTACCGACAACAACCCAAGATGGAAGGCGTGTTGCAATGACGGGAGTCTAGATGCAGGAGGAAATACTTCCTCACACAGAGAGTGACTAAAATGTGGAATTTGCTGCTCGAGGATGTCGTGATGGCCACAGGAATAGACAGCTTTACGTCTAGTTAACCAGATCGTGACATGTATTAGTCTTTTCCCTTCCCCCAAATCCAGTAGATGAAGTAATTTAGAATGGTAGTTTCCTTCCCCCATCAAGTAGTTGTATAGATTAGTTCGTCCTTTTCCCATTTCCCATAGTTATAGTCAGGGGTCATTTCGTAGAAAAAGAGCTAGGGGAACTCATTAGCATAATCTTAACCTATAGTTGTTGTGTGTAGTATGGAAAAACAATAACATTTTCAAAAAAAAAAAAGGGAGGGGGTCCAGGCAGACTTATTGAGGACAGGTCTAGAGATGTGAAGGCCCGGGGAAAAACCAGAAAAATTCGGGGAAAAACTTTTTTTCCGTTTTTTTCCCTGAAGCCTTTTTGGTTTTTTTCCGAAAAATTGAAAAAAGAAGAAAAAATTGATTATGGAACATTTTATTTTAACACGACGAATAAAATATTTTAAGACAAGGTGTTCAAATATTTTCCAAATCATTTCTAAAATATATATATATGGTATCAGATTGATCTAATTTCTGTGCACTGAGGACAAGCAAGTCCTAGGTTACAAACTGAACCCTCCAATGCAAGAACAAGATGCATTTCTTCCTTTAGGAGGTGCAATTGTCAGAAGAAAATAAAAAAGTTTTGTTTTTGCATGTGGGTGGGTATTCTGTTTGAAATAATTGTTTGGATACACTATATTTTTAATATGCTAGTTGTGATAATTTCATGCCAAGTAAAAATGTCCGTATATTTTATGTTCCTAAAGTAACAGAATGACTTTCAATCTAGAAAAGACAAAAGAAATGCTAATGTAGCATTTTTTTAATTTTTCCAAAAATTTCCGTTTTTTTCCGAGCTTCAAAATTTCCGGAAATTTTACATCTCTAAACAGGTCTATCAGTGGCTACTGGCCACGGTGACTGAAAGGAACCTCCCCATTCAGAGGCACTAATCGTCTGAACACCAGAACCAGGAAGCAACATCAGGGGAAGGCCTCAGCCTCCATGCCCTGCTGCTGGCTCTCCAGAGGAACTGGTTGGCCTCTGTGTGAGACAGGATGCTTGACTGGATGGACTCTCACTGCTCTGATACAACAGGGCTTTTCCAATGTTCTTATCAGGGGGAGGCCTCGGCCTCTATGCCCTGTTGCTGGCCCTCCAGAGGAACTGGTTGGTGTCTGTGTGCTGGACTAGATGGACCCTCCCTGCTCTGATCCAGCAGGGCTCTTCTGAAGTTCTTAATGCAGAATGCAATCATCTTGATTACAAGAGGGGAGATAAATACCCTGTGTCCCCATTCATCCCTGGGGAAGTCTATCATACTGAACCCGAGATCTCACATTGTAATCTCCTCTTGAAGCTTCTCTGTTTGAGTACTGCCACTCCTAGGTCAGCAACAGGATGACCTGGAAGACTGTCCTCCCACCTGTCTGACTACAGGTATGTGTTTCCTACCCCCACAGCGTTTCTCCTCTGCCTTAACCTCGCTGATATCAATGCGCCTTGTACTTCTGCATCCCGAGTCCCTCCTTCTTTGCAACACCCCTCCTGCCTTCTATAAGGGCTCAGAGATCTCCCTTCCAGCTTGTATCTGGCAAAGGGAGCTCTGACTCTCAAAAGCTCACGCTCTGAAAACCTGGTTGGTCTCTGAGGTGCTGCGGGACTCGAATCCACCTCTTCTACTGCAGACCAGCACGGCTGCCCTCCGAAATCAAAACATTCATTGTGAATAAATGACAAGGTGTGCATTGGGCTGAGCAAGGTCTGTCTACTGACGGAAGAACATCAAAAGAAATCGGTCCTCCGACTGTTCCTAATCATAGAATCATAGAGTTGGAAGGGACCTCCAGAGTCATCTAGTCCAACCCCCTGCACACTGCAGGCAATTCACAAATACCTCCCCCCCCCATGCCCCCAGTGATCCCTGCTCTATGCCCAGAAAGGGGAGGGACGACCATCCAGGATCCCTGGCCAAACTGGCCTGGAGAACAATTGCTTCCTGATCCCAAAATGGCGACCAGCATTTCCCTGAGTGTGTAAGGGCCACAAGCACTAAGCACTGACGCAACCCTCCCAGCAACAGAAGGAGTCCCAAGGCCTCAAGTGCAAGCGAACCAGGACGGTGATCAGGTTAGCAGCCAGACCACACCGGCAGAGGGACCAAAACAGGCCACTATGGGCAGTTAAAGGACGGACAGGGATGTTTTCAAAACTCCCACGCTGTTTAGCCTGGAGAACATCTGCCTGAGCCAGCCGGGCTTTTCTCAGTCACCACCGAAGCGTGCAGGAAGCTCGAAACAGCTGTTGGGGAGGAGGGAGAGAAACTCACTGGGAGGTGACTGCGGCGGAGAATCCTGCCTTGAATTCTTCCTCTGGGATGTCGAAGCTGAGGACATGAACAGATTCCCCCCTAAAGGAAGGAAGGAAAAAAGGCGGGAGGTGACTGTGCAGGCAGGCGAGAGACGGGGTAGGTAGGGCAGTTCGATACGGCAAGGGCAGGAAGAGATTAAGGACACAGAGGCCGAAAGGGCTTCGGTCCATGTGGGGCTGTTTTGACCTGGGGGGAGGGGAGACAGGGGAGGGGGGAGAACCAGGGGGGGGGGGGAGATGCTTGCAGTAGCAAAGTTGCCTCCACCCAGCCTTGCTTGCAGGAACAGGGAAGACCCAGGTGTCCTGAACTGGAAAACCATCGCTTTCTGATAGCCAGGTTATGCAACAGAAGAGCTTAAATAAGAACCGCTAACAGGTGTCTAAATCCACCCTTTTTCTGTCTCCTCAAACATCATCAGGAGAGCCAGGAGAAAATTCTCTACTCAGGTGATCTATTTATTTATTTACTATTTTAGATTTATAGCCCGCCTTTCCTGCACAGGCAGGCTCAAGACGGCGTACAACAGGTTGAAACACAATAAAACACAAATACATAAGTGAAATACTATAAAATTCATGTAACAACAATACACATACAAAGTGCAATTAAGTGCAGACGGCGATTGCTGTACGGTGGTCCAACATAGCTAAACCAATATCCATGGTTGTACTTAATGCCAATAGCATCAGGGCCATAGCAGTTCAGTTTTTAATAGCTCATTCCTAATCGAAGGCCTGGTGGAAGAGCTCCGTTTTACAGGCCCTGCAGAAGTGGAAGAGGTCCCGCAGGGCCCTGAGCTCTTCCGGGAGCTCGTTCCACCAGTGTGGAGCCGCCACTTAGAAGGCCCTAGCTCTGGTGATGGCCAATCTGGCATCTTTCGGACCAGGGAGAGTCAGGCGATTTTGCGACCCTGACTCTCAGTGCTCTTTGGGGGATATATGGGGAAAGGCGGTCCCTCAGGTAGGCAGGCCCCTGACCATATAGGGCTTTAAAGGTCAAAACTAGTGGACTCCCCAGGTCAAACTAGCAAGGGGGGCAGGGCTGGGCTCATGTGCTGATCAGGGGACAGGACCAGTGTTCCCTCTAAGCCAAGTTAGTGTGAGCCAGCTCACAGTTTTTTAGCCTCCGGCTCACACATTTTTGTCTTAGCTCAGGAATGATGACTCCAAAGCAAATTAATGTATGCAGGAGCCAAATCGCTCACTCACAACTTTAATGCCAGTAGCTCACAGAGTAGAATTTTTGCTCACAAGACTCCACAGCTTAGAGGGAACATTGGACAGGACTGACGCTGTGCGGGATTCCCCAAAGGCATCTAGAGCTCACAGTTCCCACCCACCTTTGCGCTGAGGCAGCCACAAAGCTCTTGAGCAAGGTCCGGCCTTCGCAGCTGATGGAGTCTGTCATGGAGGGAGAAGAGATGAGCTACCAAATGACACCCCCCCCAAAAAAAGCCTGTCTTTCTCTGAGCCTCTTAATATCCTCTTCCTGCCCTGTGCGATCCTCCACCGGCCTCCCTCTCCCCAAGCCCTGGGTTCTTCCATTCCCCCCTCACCTTGAAATTTCCCCTGCATCTTAAAGCCTCTTATCCCTCTCCACCAGTGTTCCATCTAAGCTGAGCTGGTATGACCTAGCTCATCATTTTTTAGCCTCCGGCTCACACATTTTTTGTCTTAGCTCGGGAAGGATGGGGCTCCAGAGCAAACTGATTTATGCAGCAGCCAAATCGCTCGCTCACAACTTGAATGCCAGGCGCTCACAAAGTAGAATTTTGCTCCCACTATGGGAGCAAACCTAAGCAGGCCTACCCAGAGATAAGTCTCGCTTTATTCAAGGGGGCTTCCTCCCAGGAAAGCGCTCTTAGAACGGCACCCTTTGGTCGTTCTTCCCTGACCACCTCTCTGACCCCCAATGATTCCGGCCTCCTGGTTCCCCTTTATTGTACCTTACAGACCTCTCCCACATTTGCAGCCCAAGGCAACTATAATATACTAGGGGTGAATGTCCAATTTTTAAAAAATGCAATAATGAGGGCTTCAGAATAGCACTCCTGAATTTGACCAGAGATCTATCAAATCCAGGATTCTGTTTCAGACAAAGAGCCAAACAACAGGGCACAAAGGCCCTCTCCTGATGTGGCCTCCCAACACTGGGATCCAGTGGTTGACTGCCTCTGGATCTGGAGGCTCCCCTGAGTCAATGTGCCTAGTAGCCACGGATGGATCCTCCCCTCCAGGAATCTGTCTGACCGCCTGGGAAAGCCATTTACGCGCGTGACCATCACTACCTCGACTACGGTTGCCAACCTCCAGCCGGTGTCTGGAGCAATGCTCCCTCTAAGCTGTGGAGTCTTGTGAGCAAGAATACTACTTTGTGAGCGACTGGCATTAAAGCTGTGAGTGAGCAACTTGGCTCCTGCATAAATCAGTTTGCTCTTCTGGAGTCCTCCTTCCTGAGCTGAGACAAACACGCGTGAGCCGGAGGCTAAAAAACTGGGAGCTGGCTCCCACTACCTCAGCTTAGAGGGAACACTCGTCTGGCGTCCGTCTGAAGGTTGCCAACCTCCAGCTGGCGACCTCCTGGAATTACAGCTGATCCCCAGACTACAGAGGTCAGATCCCCCCCTCGGAGACAATGGCAGGTTCAGAGGGTGGATCCTGCAGCATGACGCCCTCCTAAGGTCCCTGCCCTCCCCAGGTTCCATCCCGCGGCTCCCACCAACCACAGTCTGAACCCCAACCCTTTGCTCCTCCCCCCCCCGGAGCCCCTTCCTCCCCGTTAGACAATGGCAGGTTCAGAGGGTGGATCCTGCAGCATGACGCCCTCCTAAGGTCCCTGCCCTCCCCAGGTTCCATCCCGCGGCTCCCACCAACCACAGTCTGAACCCCAACCCTTTGCTCCTCCCCC